ACAACAAGCCAATAGGATAATCACTATTCTACCCGGCGTCAATCTTACAACTCTCCTCAACTCTCCGTGGCACAGAATTTGACACCACGACGTTGTGATGAAAACAACCGCCAAACTCAGATCGTGACGAAGAGATAGTCGGAGCGGCGACGTGCAGCAAAGAGAGATAGAGTGGCATAGAGCTATGAGGAGAGAGACAAGGAATGGCGAAGAAAAGATGGGAGACAATAGCGGTACACGGTGATGGTCCATGCTGTGCAGCGGGTTTGGAGGTGGTCGTCGACTGGGGCGGCTACGGTGATAGCCAGTGTGGAGGAAGAGGGAAGAGAGAGAAAGAGAGGAGGGAGGCGGCGGTGGTATGGAGAGAAAGATAATTAATTAGGGTTTGAGAAGGTAAATAGTAGTGGGTGAATATATAAAATAATTTAATTTTTATAATATTATTATAAATATTAACAATAACATATTATCATCTAATTTTTGTATAAAAATACCATAAATTTCATTTTTGAAGTTGAATCTTAAAAGTTCTTACCGGGTGTAATTTCCATTTTAGAAATAGACCAAGAATTGTGTGCATGTACACAAATGTTGAAACAAATATTATCTAAACAAACAAATCGGAACTAGAGCCAGACCTGAGCCCAGATATTTAGGGAGCTCAAAAAAAATAAATAAATAAATAAATTTAATCCACTTTCTAGCCCAAATATGAATAAATAAAGCCTTTCATGCGTTTTTTATTCTTCTCAATCTTTCATCTTCTGATTCTCTTTAGCCGAAAACCATTTCAACATGGCGTCTCTCTCTCAGAATTTTATTCATCAAAAAATGGGTACAATTTCTAATTTTTGTTAAATTTCAGTAACAATGTTTCGTATTTTAAATTTTTATCTGTTCATTATAGAAATAAAGCTGTAAAACATATGCATTGACAAACTAGCATGTAATATTGCAAGAAATTTGAATGAACTTTTGTTTATAACAACTGTATTTTATGGAAAATTCAAGAAAACGAAACTAAAAAAAGAAGCCCAAAAGGGAAAAATGTACTCAAAAAAATTGAAATCTTGAAACAGATTACAACGAAGATGCATATCAAAACTTAGTCTCAAAATGCAGAAAATCCTTCACTTAAATGAACTGTTGAATCCAAGTGCCCAATTGTTCTTGAACTACAACACAGAAAATAGGCAAATAAAGGAAACAAAATTGTAGATTTTTAGAATGCAAGAAAGTGAGAAAGAGAGAGGAATGGAAGTTTTGGGAAAGAGGGAGAGAGAGGGTAAAGACAAAAGTGAATAGAAAAATGAAAATGCTAGGTGTACATTTGGCCATAGATAACTGTGTCCACAATGCTAAGCTGGCATATTTTGAAGTTATTTTTCTCATGACATTGAAGTAGAATTTATATTTCCAAAATAGCCCTCCATATATTACACAAGTAGCCCCTGCCTCTTTTCACTCACAATCTACATGAGGGGAAGAATATCGTATTCTTGATCTTGACTACAAAATCATCGATTCTAGTGAATATTGATATAAGACCGATAAATGGAAGAAATTTTCAATAACTAATATTTTACTTAAATTCAGAAAATAACCACCTTGCCATTAAGGCTACCAAAAAAAAAAAACTTAATTACAAATAATCTTACTAGATGATTAACTCTAATCAATGACTAATTCTAATTAACAATTAACACCTGGATAACAGTAGAAGTTAAATGTTCTAATTAACATTGAATTTTGAATTATCTAATAAAGAAAATATTAACTAAAAAATAATTAAAAAATTAATTTTTTTTATCATTCTCCTCCGACTGATGAAGATTCGTCCTCGAATCTTGCAACGTGCTTTTTCATCCAATTCCTCGTAATAGCGGTATTTTCATAATTATTTTATTTTTGTTAGTTAATATTAATTTAATCAAAATCTCGCATCAACGTTTGGTTTCGTTAAGGTTTTCTTTATTTTTTTTGGGGAAATTGAGGGGACATAGGTAATTATCTTTGAACTCTTGAGGCTTGACCTCAATTGTGAAAATAATAATCCTTAATCAACTTGGTTATGATGTTAGTAGCAACGCTGATTAATCTTACCATCGAGACCCAACGAATCGGTTTTGACTAAATCGGCCAATTATTTGAATTTACTTTGAAAATTGATGAAATAACCAAGTTTTGAATCATGTACCTCTACTTGTTATTTTATTGGCCCATTACCATCAAGTTGGACTAGTAACCGTCGATTGATATTTTAATCGAGTTAATGACTGGATTTGGTTCAATAACTATTAGTATGCTAGTTCGAAAAGTTTCTTTTAAGAAGTATATCGGATTTCTATGAGGAATAAATTCTCAAAAATGTCAAGATAAAGTGAGTTGATTCAGTTAGACATGACTAATTTGAACTTGATAGATGTAACTGATTTAATTAGTGTATTTAATCGAGTAAAAATTTATGAATTGAACTTGAGAGATGAGATTAAAGGGAATAACTACGGTAAATTGATAAGCATATTTGATCGTTTAATTACTTTTATTTTTCATAGTTAATATTAGTTTAATCAAAATCTTGCCATCATTGTTTGCTTTATTCAAATATGATTAAACATCAAATAGATATTATCATGAGAATACAGATTTTTATGTTCACTCTACTACTCGTTTAATTGAACTTTTGATGAACAATTTGATTTTTAAGTTATGTCTATGATCATTCAAGCTCTATAGATTGGACCCTCTATGATGGTTTAATTCAGTCCAATTACATGCAATCATTGCTTGCATTAACATTGAATATATGGCAAAATTTCTGCATCAAATTTGTTCTTCATCTTCATACATAGAGGAGTACCAAACATTGTTCAATTCGCTATTTCTTGTGATTTGAAGTACTAACATAACAAGAATTTATCATTGTATCTTGGGAGACGATTGTTAATGCACCATCTATACTTGTGCGAGACAAATTTGCTTAAAGACAAAGAGTTCAACTCTTGTATCGATCTTCTTGCATTCCAAATTCTAAATTTGTGTTTGTTCAAGTTTGTATTCATTTTTCGGATAGGTTTGTGTTATTATTTATTTCCTTCAATTAAAAAATCACTTCATCACTATTTTTATAACAATCTTAAAAAGAATTTTTTTAGTAATTTCTTTATTTAATTTCTATTTTACTCGATTAAACAGAAATTCAATTTCAGTTTAACATTTCTACTCTCTCTTGATCTTGTTAAAATTTGAATTCATTCTATCTTCTGTTTGTTTAGAAATGACTAGTGTTAATGATACTGACGATATTACTTCGGTTGTCATTTTTCTGAATATCATTCCTCCGGTTAAAGTTCTCCTTACTACCATTCATCAACTTTTGTGTTGCATGGAGGAAAAAAAATATATTGTGGGAGTGATTTAAAAAATGGCAACACAAGATGTTGTTCTATCTAACAATCCTCAATTTGAAAAATTTTGGAATGAAGATACTCCCACTGCACAAGAAGAGAAAACAATAGGGCATCATTAATCATATTGGATGCTTGAAAACATTCAGACTCCTTATGTAAGAATTACATACTGAATCATTTGGACAACCTACTAAACATGTGTAGTTTCGTGAAATCTGCTAAGAAGTTACGAAAATCCTTGAAGAAGCCAGAACAAAGAAGTTCATCATTGGAAAATTCTTGGACTAGAAGATGGTAGATTCAAAAATATTGATCTATCAAGTACAAGAGCTACAGCTTCTTTTCCGTGACATTCACGTTGATAACATGTCTCTAAGTGCAACTTTTCAAGTGTCTATTTCCACCCATGTAGAAGAACTTCAAGAACTATCTCAACCCAGATGAGGATTGAAAAAGATAATTGATATTTGGACAAATGATTGGAAGCCAAATACAAGAAGCAATGGCATAAGTGGTAGAGATCAACGCAAAGAGAAAAAGGAAGGAAGCATTTTGAGGAATCCTTCAAGCAAAGAAACAATTGCTACAATTATGGAAAAGCTTGACATCGTTTATGTTCTACTTTTCATGTTACTTTTCATGCACACTTTCTAATCACTCATGTTGCTATATATCCTTGGTGACAAAAAGTCTGCCAATTGGTGAGAGATTATTTTAATGTTGTCTTCTTTAGTTTTTATTCTGCCAATTACTTATGTAATGAAAAAGTAAGAAAAAGAAAAAGGACAAAAAACAATTGTCGGTTGTTGATTTACCTTAGGTACTCCATTTTTTAATTATTAAATGTTATTTTTATTTTGCTTTGCTTGTATATTGAGTATGTTAAACTATATTTACAGAAGCACTTTCAGATATATTATGATGCGATTATGCCGTACTTGAAAGCTATCTTGATAAATGCTATCTACAAGTCTAACTTCATGTTTAGTGCCAAAGCCATGGAATGCTTTTGGACGGTTTGGAAATGAGAACTTCAAAAAGGATGTCAAGCAAGTTAAATAACAATAAACTTAGTATTGGCTATGTTTCTTGTTGAATTTAATATATTATTTCTTATTACTTGGTAATCAGTTGTTTGTTTTTTGATTTCTTTTAGCTCTTAAGTCAACTCTTTATTCTTTATAAACAACTAGCACTCTATTTTTTTAACCAGCTTAGAATTTCTTTCACGTTTACAAATAAATTTTTTGAAATTTTACACACTTATTTTTAACATTAACGAAATAAAATGCAGAGCACGTTAACCCCAATAGTATTAAGGAAAAAAGGAGAGGAAGAAAATTGCCCTAACCTCTGCCTCTTGTGCTTTTGCAGTTGATCTTCCAAAGTTTCGGCAATCAATCTTCTTCCAACATTGTTTTCGGTGTTTCTTGGTCCGACCTCCAGAAATCTCGATCTGAGGTAACTTCGCAGCATTGTTAAGTCTCTGGGATTTTGTTTACAAATCAAGGCTGAAATCTTCACTAGGACCAGTCCAAACTTAAACACATTCTTCCTTTTTAGATAAATTGGGAATGGCTACTGGAATAATCAGCAAGTACCTCTGTAACAATCTGCAGGTGTGCTAAAACGACCTCTCAGTGAATATGGTAATCAATTGATCAACTCTTGACTTGTATTGCAATTTTTGAGGAGTTGGGGAAAAATTGTCAAGCGGTGGACATTTTTTACGATTAAAACAAAACCTTATCTCATTCTTTCCATTCCATAAAAAAATGAAAGGGAGCTTCAGATACAGAAACACATCGACGGGCAGCAACGAAAATCGGTAGGAAAATTCAGCACTGAAGCGGCAATCAGAAGCATACTTATATTTATTTCCTTGCTTGGAATTAATCCCCTGTTTTGGCTACAACCAGGTAAGGAGGAAGATTTTTATTTACAAGAATATATATTATGTTTATATGTGTGTTTATGTACATATACATAGTAAGGAAGCAGATAGTAGAGAGATGAAGGGCTGACAGAATCTGTATGAGCATTTTGAATCAGAATTGGAATTTGGTGCATAATTAGGGAATTATTGAACTGAGGACAGGTTTTTCTTACGGCGGATGGGATTTATAATCTGAATATGTGAACTCATTTTTTAAGTAAGTGAATTTGCAAGATGATTAAATAACAGGAAATCAATATTAAAATGGTCTTGGCCAGATTTTCATTTGTGTACAAATTTTCTAGTAATTGAGAAGAAAATGAATAAGTGATCTTGAAATTGAAATGGGTTTGGCATTACATGTATGAGAGTTTATATTTTTATTTTTAATGGTGGAATCAGGCGGAGGAGAATACAGAAGAGGAGAAATTCCGGAAGGAAAAAGAATGATTTGGGTTGTAATTTCAGTAAAGAAAATGGGATTAGGCATTTCAATGCTTCAGTTAAGGACTAAGAAGGTTGGTCTTAATGGCTGATTACTCTTATCTTTTCTTCCACAGCATAAACATTCAACAAATTTCATTTATAATTGTTTTCTTTCAGTTGGCTGTTTGAATAGTCAGTGTTTAAGAAAAAATAAGATTTAGGACATAGAATTACAAATTGGGTAAATGGCGGAATTTTTCCTTACAAAGTGGTAAGGTAAGAAAGGAGGAGAAATGTGAAATTGAAACAAGAAAAATGAATTGAGTAGTGGACTTCAGTGAGCCAAGTGCAAAAGAATTTAAATGAGGAATTACATTAGATGGCAACTCATTATTTAACATGATTGGGCTTTTAATTCAAGTAATTATAGGAGGAAAACTACAAATTGCAGCCTAAATAAAAGGCTAGACATACTTGAAACGATTCTTGAAGGGCCAATTGTTGTCTCCATTGATAATCCACCTGATGATGATGCCAACATTGCAGATACCCCGAAGATTGCTGCTGCACCTCCCCTTAGACCTCAATCCTTGAGACTCAAGATGCCCAATGCAAGCATGAAGACACTTTCCTCAAGCTCCAATTGTAAAAAAAGGTAAGAAGGATATCCAGTAAGTTTAAAATGTTGTTGAAGCACAACGTTTTATGTTTGGGAAAATATGTACAATGTCATTTTGTGTACCATCCTAAATATTTTTGGTTGACGGTACAATTCGATATTTGGATGCAAACTTCAAATCGATATGACTTTATTGTTGTTTCATTAGTGACATGTTGATATTGATAAGAGTTAGTATATGGTAATCAAATTATTGTGGTTGTTCTTGTATTGTATTGTTACCATTGTCAAACTATCGTTATTGACAAATGAGATCTCAAGCGTTGAGATTAAAAAGTGTTAAACATCGAGAACTGCACTTCAAATGTCAAGAACTTTGTAAAACGTAGAGAACATTCATGTTTCTCCCCACCAAGGCCGTGTCTTCGGTGGACAATTTATTGACAAGCTCTTCATATCTAATGTCATTTCAAATAACAATTGATGTTGATCGGTTTTCAAACCACTTCCACTCGTTGTCCATGTTGAAGAATGTACCACCGTGCAAGACAACGCATTTCATAACATCTCCCATACCTCCATGCCATCAACACAAATAATATTAGCTAACACACGTATACCAAAAGCGAACATACTATCCACACGCAATATGTTTAACACTAAAAACAAAAAGTTCCATAGCATTGTTAAATTTTTAACATTATTCTCGACATTTGAAACAGTGTCACGGGTTAAATTTAAAGTGTCATTCTTGATATTTATAAAAAATTCGAGAAAACACTTCACCATGTGCATTTATCTTTTTCAACTTGAACCACCATTTTTGCAAAGAATTTATTCCACCATTAATGATATTGTCAATATATATATAACTAGCTTAAATTCCTATCTATCAAAATTTTTTAAGGTTGTCACACAATGTTTGTTCCAATTATCTTGCATCAAATATGTACCAGTTGTTTGGATAATCTAATGCATTTAATCAAATATATAACAACAACTATTAAACACAATTTATCAACAAATATAAGATTTCAAAGAAAAAACAACCTTCTACTGAGAATTGTGGAGAGTCTAATCAACTCTTGCAAATTTAGATGAGACTAAATTTTTCGAAATGAAATTATATAATTTTCTTATGAGTTTTAAGTTCTTTTTTATTATTAATGGATTTTCATCTTCTTCATTTTTTTCCAAAATAATTGGTCAGTATCTAATATATAATGTAAGCAAATGAACATATTAGAACATTTCCAAAAAAACTCTCTATTTTTAAAGAGCATATTTTATTATTTGGAGGGCCAAAATTTTGAAATACTCCAACAAACTCTTTATATTTAACAGTCCATTTTACTACTTTCCAAAAATATTTACTGTTTTTCTCTATCTTTTATTTTGACTAACTTTTCTCTAGATTATTTTATTATTTTCCTACATTAAAATTTGAAACACTTTGAATACACTTAATTATAGAGAATGAGTTTGGCTCTCTAAATTTAGAGAGTCAAACCCACTCATTAAATTATAATATTTATTTAAAGAGTCTCTTGAAGTATGATTTTAAGAGTTGGCTTTTTAAAATAGAGAGCGTCTCATGCTTAAAGAGTCTTTTCAAGATGCTTTTAGGTAATAGCTAGTACTATTGTAGCATCTCATGGAAGCTACTTGTTCTTCTCGAAATTGGTGACAAACTCAAGGAAAAAATTGCTTCATTGTTCATTAAGTGTATAATAAACAAAAGAATAATTTTATTACCACTACAAATTTTATTAACTAGACAACAAATTTCTTATTTACTTAAATATCCTTTAGTAAAATTACATAATTAGGAGTTTTACTAAATTTTTTAATTGAATAAAGTATTGTTATACCACAAATATGAAATCTAATTTCTTTCTTTCTTTCTTCTCAACATCTCATTGCTCGTAGCTTTTTCAACGGCTTTTTCTTGCTTCCACGATGGCAAGATATTTTTCTTTTCCTCACATAATCGAATTTATACTCTATTTGACTACGTATGACTGATGAATTTTTTCAGTTTATTTGTCAAGTTTGAAAATGAAGAATCTGATTTTTTTATTAATTCGAGCTGTTTTATTATGAATTTAAAACAATCAAAAGAGTGCAAGTCTATTATCTTCAATTTATTATGAATTTAATATGATTGTTTTCAAATTATTATTTAGCATGCTTCACATCAATTTATGATGAATTTGCGTGTATTTAAGTGTGATTCTTTTCATATTTTTAAGTGATACATATCATATTTAAATACAATTCTTTTCGTGTTTGTCAAATTGCATGTAATATGATAATTTTTAATTGTTAAATGAGTTGTGTATGTATACTCATAATAATGTCCATGAATTTGCATCCATTCATTTCGTGAGAGCATACCTAGGAGCTATATAAGAATTGATGTGGCCTAGGCTGCTTTAAAAATTCTCTGTACACATTTCAATTTGGGAATCACGCGCTATGTTATTCTCTGGTATGTTTGTTTCTGCATTTGATTTTTTGACATGTTTGCATGCTGCTGCCTTCAGTACTGGTTCGAGAATATTATTTTTATCTTTTGTGTTGTACCACTTGATAAGGATTCATTCAAGGAACTCACATCATGACTGACACGTCAAAAAGTAAGCAGTTGTTCCATTCACAAAACTCGTTCCCCTTTGTTTGCCTGTCAATGGTACGTACAATATATTTTCAACAATTGTTGTAAATTGCTGAACATTATCTTAAGTTAGTATCTTTTAGTTATTGGATAAGATGGACTGCAATGAAATCCTGTGATGTTTATTCTTGTTATTATATTCTAGTTTTTGTCTCAAGTCTTGTCACAAACTAAAAAAAGGAAAAAAAATAACATATGTTAGTCAAGGTGCATGATAATTATTCAACGATTGTGGTTTTTTATTGAAAGTACTCTAAAAATATCATTCTGTGATTAATGTTCTTTTTGCAGTACTCTGTAGTTCTGCCTTTCTGTATATTCTTTTCATTTCAGACGAAACTTGTTAGAGTGTTAAAAGTACAAAACTACGAGTAAACTAAAAGCCTAGTCTAGAGTGGGTCTCAGACTTGGGATTGATGGGTGTTAGACATATATTTTGTTGTGAATATTTGTTTTCTATTTTATGGTAGAAAATTTTCAGCGGTGGGTTTCTTGAGTATGAATTGCACGTACCTCGCAATTTTGCTACTGGTAATATAAGCATATGGTTCATGATGGTGCTTGTTGAATAGATAGACAAGAGAGCATATTTAGATGCTGATATAATACATATTGGTGTTTATTTTGTTTTATCAAAGTGTGAATCTGATAAAATCGTGTCTTAAATTGCAGGTGTTTCATCTAATGATTGGATCCTCTAATTTGGGTGAGAATTTAATAGTTTTAGAATTGTTGTTTTCTCAGACCTTTCAATTGATGCAGCTTTTGATACTATAACTAAATGACAAATGAAGCATATAACCTGACTACCACAAGTGATACTGTTCCTCTGTTTATTATGAATTTAAAAGCCCTGATTTACATAATATGTGTTTATATCTGTGGTGGCTTCAAAGTAAGTGCAAAATGATGCTTTAAAACCAAATATTTGGAATGTCGAATGCCACATAATAGTGACACCACCCGTCCCGGACCAACCTAATGAGCTCGACATATGTCGTGCACCGATGGTAGATACCAACTAAGTGTTGGACCCATCATCAAAGCAACATTAACCTACTTTGACTGTGATGTATTTTTAAAAGAATTTTGACAAGATTCCTTTTGAAATATGAATTAAAACCATTTGAAAATAATAATCAGTTTTCTCAAATCTGTACATATATTTTAAAACAGTGTATACCAACTCCTTAAACACAACTCTTCAAAATAAAGTGTACAAGAATGATATTTACGCTCCAAATGCACAACAGTTACAAAAATGCAGCGAAACTGTGATATGGATATGCTTTTCGATAAAAGATGCATGTATTCCAATAAATGAACTATATAAACTAACGAAAAAGAGTTATACAGCTGATGATAATGTGTGGCTCAACTTGGCAGATCAACAAACTCCATCGCTACTCAACTCAGTTACTATCTGAAAAGAAAATGGTTGAAAAATATATGAGCTTGCAACTGAGTGAGTGGATATTTAACAAATAAGTATACTTTTTTTCTATTTAAACAAACTTTCTAGAAATACTTATGCTATTACAAGTTTAAGAAAGTCTAAAATCTGATAATACTTTTAAAATTAAAACATAATGGAATCATAAAATTCTTTACTCTTTATTTTGAATAAATCATTGCAAGGTATATCTGACATTCAGAGTAAAAATATCATTTCATAGTACTATAAGCTTAAATCATTACTCTGAAATTGAAAAAGCTAAATTCTATAGTCTGAAATTTGTAAGCTATATAATACTGAAAAATCACACCAAAAGTACCCGAAATAACCTTACTCATGTATCGATTAATACCAATATACATGGCAAAGCTATTCAATTCTATAATTCTGAAATTCTAGTCATGCATGCGCAAAGCTGCCGGAAGGCTATAATTTAGTCATACACTATGGAAATACAATCACAATAGTACAGAGCAAGTCAAATAACCATAACTGATCATACACTATAGAAACATTTTCACATCAGTGCAGAATTGGTAAAATAACCATATGGAGTCACATCAGTGCAGAATTGGTAAAATAACCATATGGAGTCTTACACTGTTAAAACACATTCACATATGTGCAAATTAAGGTAAAATCATCTGAGTAATTTTTGGTGGTTTTAAAAATAACTTTAAATATACTGAAATATTTAATATTCATATAACATGCTAATCAAATAATTTAACTGAACTGAATTCAACTTTAAAAACAACTGATTACAAATTCACTTTATTTTGAAAATCATGCTATCAAATCAACTGTATTAAATAATAAATTTTTTGATCTAATATAAATTTAATAAATATTAATTTCTGAAAAAATAAGTTTTTATCCACTCACAGGTCCATGAATAGAAATCTGACTAAATTGAAGAGATTTTTCAAACTTTCACAACACTACCTGGAATAAGGATGTAATTACTCAAACATAAGTCCATCAAGTAATTCCACCACTTCTATATTCATTCTTGCATCTCTATTTCCCTAACTTTTCTTCGCTTTTATTTTTACCTACCAATCACCGAACATAATC